CATAGAAATCTAAGATAATTATGTATAAAAACGCATGTTGAAAACCGCTCAACATAGATAATTATGTATGAAATAACTTGAAAGATAAAAAAAAAATGATGATATCTATATGAGAAAAACGAAAACAAACCCTAAAATAATAAATTGACCATGATTGACAGGAACATACAATTTTGAGCATAGGTATATATATACGACAAAAGACCTAGGGCACCTACCTATTATCGAAGCCCACCTACGAAAGCCATAAAATAGCCGACAGAAATAAAGTAAACAGTTGAGAGTTGATATCTACATGTACGAAGCCCACTTCAAAGTTGATATTTTACATATACGAAGCCCAATAAGCCCATACATAGGATTCGATTATTAATGGCAAAATATCAATGGCATAGCAACGTAATTAATCAACGATTTTAGGGCAGTAAGGTAATTTCAAACCTAAAATTGATTCTAGAGCTGCCATCTAGGATTCGTGACTTCTCATTTATAAGTATAGATTTTAGGGCAGTAAGGTAATTTCAAACCTGAAATTGATTCTGGAGCTGCCACCTAGGATTCGTGACTTCTCATTTATAAGTATAGATGTGGAGGCTGAGAACAAAAAGATGACCTAATAATAATGATGAACAATTGTCAAATCTCCTAATCTAAGAAAAGCTCATTGGAAAACATTGAATGAACAGAAAAAAAAAAGGAAGATTCAAAAGCTTAAAAGAGGCTACAAGTTCAGGTCAAAAGATTTTGCTTCTTTATTTCTTCTGTTGTGTGAGTGGTCAAAAAATGCAAAATACTATAGATGTTAGAAGAACTTGCTATTGTTTCTTTGAAGTCAATACTATAGATGTTTCAGATGCGATTCTGCATGAATGTAAAACATATATGATCATGTGGAGTTTAATAAACTGTGAGTGTTGTTCAAAAAATAAAAATAAACTGTGAGTTCCACATAGTAGAGTTCTTATTCCCATGAGAAGGTTAAAGATGATAGGAAAAGACTTAAACGTTAAGATTGTTTTTTCTCTGTTTGTCTTGCCTAAGCTTGATTCTATGTACCTACTTCAGTATTCTATAAAAGGTGGGAATTATTCTGTTTGTGGGTACCGCAATGAGGAGTTGCCTTTGTTTCTGAGTCATATGCTAGGATCATGTATGTTAAATTAATGTATGAATTAGAATATTTGACAAAGTGAAGAAATTCTTAATTATTATAATATTAAGCTGTTGCAGTACAATTGTAAAGCCAATAGAAACTAAATGCATATGATGTTGTTATTACCTTCACATCCTGTTTTCTGCAGCCAGCAAAGATTGTTCAGAGAGGCAAACGATCTTGCACAGAGAAAGAGATCTCTCGTAGTCACCAGCAGCAATGGCTCGTGGATTGCTTCTGTTCTGATATATTTTAAAGTAGTGGTTTTCTTACTAAGCAAGTAGCTAAGGTATGAGGAAAATCCGGTAACATAGACACAGGTAGTGATTAATTTAATGAATTTTTACTGTTTGTTAGTATGCTTCTACCACTTTCCTTTGTTTCTTTGGACTGAATTTGGATTACTTCTGCTAGAATAATATCTGAATTTGAACATTTGAAAACCATGTGAAGATATGTTGATTTATACTAAATATTATCAAGCTCTTACATTACAGTTTGTAATGCCAATAAAGAAATAAATGCAGATGATGCTAGTAGGCTGTGTAATTCTTATAATCATTCTTATAAAGGTAAATGATTCAATCAAAGTTCGTCACCGGAATAGTGCATCTCTGATCGTTTGCTGTTGCGGTGACTTTGTCGGGTTTTTAATCTGGGCATTCGGTTTTCTTGGTTGGGTCGGTTCATTTGTCTGTTTCGGTTTTGAGATCTTCTATTCGAATTAAAACCGAATATTTTTCGGTTTACTGGTTCGGTTACACAAAATTGGCAGTGGTTGGTTATTAAATTAAACAAAAACCGATCGTGTTATATTAATTTCGGTTTAGTTATGAGTTAGTAATTTCGGTTTTAAGTCGGTTTTTCACTCTAATCAAAGAGAGAGACTACAACAGGTCCAAACTAACGTAATGAAACAAAAGCAAAAACATGAACACTGTTTTGATTCAGCTATAAAATCAAAAGTTGCTTCTTTCCGAAACTTGACGTAAAAATAATGTTATAATGCTTTAGCTCTACTTCGTTCACCTCCCCACTTATGCCTATGATGAGCTGTTCCTTTTCCTTCTTTATCCCTTTTAGGTTTAGCTTTCTCAATCAAATCCTCCTCACCTCTCCTCTTATACATTTTAAAACTCATCTCTCTCTCACTAGCCATCTTCATCACCTTCTCCGTAATCTCTGCAGCGATCGTCCGATTATACAGTTTATTCAATCCTTTCATAAGTTTCACGTAAGTATCAGGTTGCGGCATCAAGTCCATCTCCATCATGTCAAGACAATACGAACACGCCTCCTTCACGTGACCTTTTGCAAACAGAGCATGGATCCATATTGTCCAAGCAGATACATTCAGCTCACAAGAAGAGCTTTTGTTCGATATGCAACTCCAAACATCTTTCGCCATTTCGAGCTTATCATCTCTAACAAGAGTATTTAGTAATGACTTCAGCGTTCCGTATTGAGGCGCAGAGAATATTCCTCGGCTTACCATTTCTTTGAAGTGATCGCTGGCTTCAATTAGACAACCTTGGCTTGTAAATCCGTTGATCATAATGACATATGTATCAACTCCTGGGCTTAAACCAATAGCTTCCATTTCATTCCATAACCGAACCGCTTCTTTCACTTCCCCTAATTTACAGGCCAATCTGATCACTACATTGTATATAAGAAGATCGGGATGACAACCTATACGCTTCATCTTCTCAATCAACTCCAAACACTCTTCAAATTGTTCTTTCTTCTCATGAGCCACCATTATCTGCATATATGTTACTTGCGACGGCATGACTCCTTTCCTTCTCATATCATCTAAAACACTATAACCTTTATCGATCATCCCCCATTTGCAAAACCCACTTATCAGCGCGGTATAAGTAACGATATCAGCCTCACATCCATACCTTTCCATCTCAACAAAAACCCGCATCGCCTCATCCATTCTCTTCTCCATCTTACACAACGCCTGGATCAAAACCGTGTAACAATTCGCATTCGGCTCATACCCTCTCTTTCTCATATCCTTCATAAGATCATAAGCATCCGCCATTTTCCCAGCATGAGCATATCCACTTAGCAAGTTAGTGAAAACCACAATGTCTGGCTCAATCCCTGCTTCCTTCATCTGAACCAAAACATTTTTAGCTTCCATCAACTTCCCTTCTCTACACCAACCATACAACAACGAAGTGAAATACCGCAAATTCGGAGGAAACCTCTCTCTCATATCCTCAAAAAGCTTTGAAGCATCCTTAACACTACCGTTCTTACACAACGCATCTAACAAGCTTCCGAAAATATAATCATCAGGCTCTAACCCGTACTTAGGCATTTCGTCGAGCACCTCGACTGCTTTCTTCACCATGTTAGCAGAAGCAAACCTCCGCATCAGTACAACGAACAACTCCGGCTCAATCAACTCCGGATTCTCTTTCCTCATCTCTTCGATTAAAGCCCAAACAGCTCCGAATTGCCGCATTTTACTAAGAATCTTAACCATCGATTTACACACTTCATAGCTGTGACAATAACCAGGTTGCTTCGTTGCCCAGACGAAGAACCTGTAACCTAGATTCCCAGCATCGCCACAACGACTCAGCACTCGTACGATTAACCCGGGTTGTAAATCGATACCGGATTCGTTAAGAGCAAGCTCCAACTTCGGAACCCTAGAATGGTAATTCCGCAAAATTCTGTATGTCTTCTCGACGTCACCGGAGAATTCGTCGGAATTTTTCGTCTCAGAACAAACCAAGCCAACCCCATTTATCCTCTCCGTTGACTCGACGAAATCGTAACTGAGAACTCTGGAAATGTGAAACCTTTTGCAGATGAGATCAATTCGAGAAGATGGTAAGCGTTTGCTGATGAAAAGATCGACAATGGTAGTGACTCTACGCA